CTCCTGTGTGTATTGTCTAGCAATAGATCTAGCAATTGCTGCCAAACTTTCCCGAACGAAGAGACAGAAATTCTACTGAGCACAAGAAAAATCAGATGACGTTAGAGGTGAAAAACATAGCTGAACTTGTTTGGTGGACATAAATCAGTTCAGGTTGTGACAGAACTCTGCCGATTGTTGCATCAGTCAGCCAGCTAGCTACGTAATAGGTTTTTCAGTCAAAACTGTCTACTGAAGTATTGTGTCCTCAGCTGCCACAACTACATGCGATACAGGCTCGGTGTAAGGGGCTTTACGACGCGCTGGTATGACCTATCCAGTGAAACATACGGAGTATTACCAGTTGATCTATCGAAGGGTAGTTGCCTTTTCTAAAACCCACCTTGTGTACTTCAGCTGTACTTACCCGGCATTCTCACCAGGGGTTAGAAGGGACCGATAGTTAAGCACAGAGTCTTGAAAAAGCTTCCGCACGAAACGGCCAAGCAAGTCTATTACGGGACTGCAGCATTGTATAACTGTGGGCAACCAAAAATTTGTTGCCTCAGAACCAAAAATGTTGGATGACCACAAGACAACATCGCATTAGCCAGATTCTTCTGGAGGGGCAGCTAATAAATGTGCGTGCCTTCACATCATCGCGGGCAGATTCAAGTGGCGTACTCTAAAGCGAACGGCCAATTTGCAACGAAGCATTTCATCATGTGGTTTCAGTAAATCCAAGCCTGGTTTTTAGTTATAGCCTAAACGCATCAAGTTGTGAGCACTTAAGTGGGAAGTTTGCGCTGTGTATAAAAAATGGTGTTTAGTCCTCCACTAACATAGGCCCAATCCGGTATAGTCCACAAAACAATGCTGCCCCCGGATTAGGTTGGCCGACTTGGTTGTTCGTATCACCTGCTAGAATGCTAACGGAAGCAACCGTGTCAAATCTAGATAGAATCGTCATCATCTGTCAGAACGTATCCCCCAACAACAGATAAACACCGTTTGCCGCATTGAGATATATTCGTCTTAGTGAGAACAGTCAAATGAACACCACAAAATCGACTAATTATTGGATACCCATTCATTAAAGCGCACAGGGCCATGAGGCTAAGCACAAATCCCGAGCAGCAAATAGCGCAGGCCGATGCATTAGAATGACCAGACATCCGAAGTGTAGAGTGCAGTGACTCTGGTTTTGTTCCAAAAGGTTGCAGCTGTGTGACAGAACTGAGGTTTTGTATGCACGTTCCGGAGTCAGCTTACATCGATCGAAAGCTAGAACAAATTCTCAGCTGATGCTAACTTTTGTTTATTTTACACAGAGTGCAGATGTTGTGAAACGAATTTTTTGAAGATAATAGGGTTTTATTAAGATTTGTCTTGCTAAGCGAAAAGCCGCGTATGCACCGACTGACACTAAATAGATCAGGAACACGTAACTGATGGACATCCAGTAGGGATCGTTGAGTGAAGAGTTTTAAGAAAAAAATGACGCATTCCGACTATCCATGCCGAAGTAGATGGTTTGGTCGCGTCCTTGGACACAAAAGTCTGACCCATTAGGCGATGGAGCGATGTGAAGTATTGTTTGGGACCTTCCACCTAACCCTTGACTGACAAGTTTTCTAGGGTTTTCTCGAAAGTTTTCTCCCAGAGCCGATAATTCAGTACTCTTACTCGGTTGGCTGCAAGGGGACGGCCAGTTTTAAGGTCACAGAAGTAAGGCTTAGATATCTGACTCTATTCTGCTGCACACAGCAGATGCGTTTAGATCCTTATTTGACTCGTAGCAATTTTTATGTTATTCAACCTTTCCGGCTAATTCGCCAGCGGTTATGGCCAAATTTGAACACCCGGAGTGTGCAGTTTTTAGGACAGATCTTTTCTAACACCCCTTCTCTGAGGGAACATCGCTGCTCCCATAAATGTGGGAATAATGGTTACCTGAACGAAACACCCCGCCATCTTCACACTTCTGCTGCGGAGAAAATCACAGCCTTATCTCCAGACCTTCTCCTAATATGATTTTCGCCGCTCGGAGTTTCACTATTCTTCATCTGACTGCCCCCATTGACCTTTCTGCAATGATTGCGCGTCACGAACTTAATTACAGCCAGTTTAGCTCGCAGACAAATGCAACATGTAAGCCTGATCACCACGACAAGGTGAAAAGGGGACGACAAGGTGATCAATCGTATTCCATGAATAAGGTCAGAAAGATCCTGTTTCGATGTTACCGCACCCAAATATTTCTTTTTAAAATGTGTGGGGCAATCACCGGAAACAGGTGTGTTCTCTGCCGTGTGATAAAGCCAAAAGTACCTGAACTCTTAGGGATATTGAGAGGTTTTCAGTGTGCAAAAAGAAGCGTCATGTGAATACCGAAGGCTGCATGCTCTATTGGTACACCAGCAGGTGTTCATGGAATTCCGTCAAATGGTTTAGGTGTATGCAACAAACGTAAATATCGGGGGACGAAAGGCAATCTCTTGCATACACATGCAATCACGCTTGCGCTTTCGTAAGTTTCAACTACGCGTTCCAAACAAGGCACCCTGAGTGTACCCTAATTGATCGTTTTATTACTCTGGTCAAGCGATTTAAAACCTAGTGGTACCAAGCCTGCTTTGGAGAAAGAAGTTCCTGTGGGTTCGCTATCTGAAATGACTTTTTACAGGAAAACAAACAGATCATCTGCAAAGACAGTATACCCGGCAATTTGAGTTTGGCAGTATATTCTACCCTATTTTTGACCACCCAGAATATTCCTACTGGAGTCACTGTAGTTCCTATCTGAGTCTTTCACCACGAATTCAATGTGAGTAAAACCTGGATGCTTCAGTACTCTCTACTTGTAAGGACTATGTGTAAATGGGGGCATCGATCATATAGTTCTACTTTTTGTATGACTGGGTTATTTGTCAGACGGGCGTGACTCAATGGCTCCTATGACTCACAGAGCGGCGTTAAATAACGTGCTTTGAAAGCAGATGTGCAGTCAAGAAATGCCCTCTTGCTAGACATTTTAAGCCAGTATTACAAGTCAAAGCCGAGGAATCCTCCACAAATCCCTTCTTGACTGAAAAATGAAATACAAGTTACACTGGTTCAAAATAAACTTGAGGTATCAATGTTGGAACGGTAGTAGCGACAAGCTGTACTTGGTAACAAGAAGATACAGATCAAATGAAAAAACAAGCAGCGCGATAAATTACTCGGGATCGCTCAGTTTAATCTTTTCAAGACTTTGAAAGCGAAATTTTTTGTACATTTCAAGAAAACACTAAATCAAGCGTCGGAGGCATATATTTCCCAGCATTTCAGTGTTCACAGTGAACCATGCAGGCGGATGAGGCGGCGGTTGCAGATTCAGAAACATCAAGGATAAATGAATCAGCAATGGCAGGACAGGGGAGAACGGCGAAACTTCCGGAGTTCTTCACTGCACAACTTAGCACCTTCGTTAGGCCATGGTAAACGACCACTTACCTCCAAGGACACTGAGTAACGAATATGCAATGAATCAAGTATGATGCACATACAGCGGTATTTTCACTTCTATCGAGTTTTGGCCAAAGCTACAGTTCTGGATAAGTTAGCTAAACGGTGCTTTTGATGAAAGAATTGCGCTCTTTTGTAGCCGCGTCCTTACACAGAAGTCACATGCTTGCATCCTCAAGGTAACTGCTGCAAAGTCGTATCTGATTTTGACTAGCCTGCATCAGTTCTCAAAATTCCTTACAACTGCTTACAAATTTTTCGCCAGTAACTGCTTGAGATATGGAGTTTTAAGCCATGACAAGGCCGATATCTTCTGAAGATTCTGATACCTGTGAGCTTCTGTTAGCGAAGCCAGATTCCGCTATAGAGCTCATCGTTTGAAATATTATATATGCGTGTGTATTGAATCTAAAAAAATAGTGTTAACATGTTTCTCAAACAGGAACAAAGTGGCGTTCAGGTCACGATATGCAATTTTAACTTTAACATCAGTATTGTTCATATTGTACATATTAAGTACTCCACTCTCCAAGCCTGCCTGTTTAATAGCCATATGAATCAGAGATGTACCAGGTAAAAAAGAACTAGGGTGATACAGTTAAACGTTAGTTTACCACAAGGAGAGAAAGTACCCAAAAGTGGAAACACGACCCATTAAATGTGACGTCAAATTAACCACGCTTCGGATTGATGATACTTTGAATACTGTTTTTATCCGTTGTCCAATATGGAGCAAACCTAACTATCTATCATAGACCTCACCATTTCGAGCAGCCTGAGACCATTTTGATTACCAGATTAATGAACGGCTGTCCACTTTGTTGATATGTCTTCTGACATTATATTCGTATTGTATGGATATCTAGTTCCATGTGGCCAGGTACTCAGTTATCAACCTCTCGCGAGTGACCAAGCTTGCACAGTTTTACTCTGCTTTAAGTACAGGTTGTCGATTTAATAACATTTTGCATCCGCTGTAAGTTTTAATATACCCTGTTTGTTTTATCTATCCCCGAGCCAGCGGAAAAGGGATCAGAAAATTTGCTGTAAGTCCAGCTATCTGTTCTCTCATTTCGGCAATACTCCAAACCATTAAACAAGTCGAGTGCCTCTTGGCTTTGAAAGGATGAACTGCTCACCTTTCAATATGGGGTTTAGCTTGCGTAAATAGGAATCCTGATTGATTTTATTCGTGACTACGTAAGCTGATCATTGTTCCTTGTCTTACGCCGGTTTTTAATCCATTTAGGCATGTGAATCTTCGGATACAATCGGCATTAAAGAACCCACATCCAGCAAGATTTAACTCAGAGGTTGACCGTCTCCGATCATTTCTCGGTGAAATTATGCTCAAGAAATTATGTGAACGCAGTGCTTGGTTTGCGTACCCAAAGGAGGCTGAAAAGAATTCAGGATCCCTTGATCAAGAAACGACCCGAATTCAGGTCTCCGAAGAATGCGAATAGCTAAATGCACAATTTTACAGATGTGACGTTGAATAAAACATAGGATTAGTTGACAAATATCATTTGCAAATGAGTGTATTTGTAGAAATCTGTCCGATTTGGATTCAAGTAAAACATAAAGTTGACGGAAACTAGGGGACTGCGCCTACCTGATGAGCCCCAAGAAGGGCGAAACCGGTCGTGAGCTGTCGAAGATTTTTCAGTATTCTTGTGGGTAGCTTCCTATTGGATTATTTGTTTCGGATGCTGTTTTGTGACGAATATTCGAATGCTAGCCTCGTAGCCACTGAAACTCCTTTCGGACATTTGTTCACCCAGATGGTTGATTTGAGAAAGAGTTCCAGTGGGGTGGTTGACGAAATCAAATCTGACCCGGTTGACGGCTGTTGTTAGTAACCATCACCTGGACAACATCGGAAGCCGCATAAGCGGCTAGGGGGAAAAATCTCGGCATTATCATTGCGAAGCCGGTTAAAGAATCCAGCGCAGTAGTTCTGAGAAGGTAGGTGCATGAAAGTAAGTTGGAATAGATTCTTAATGAAACAAATCTCAAATTTGACAGATTCGAAGAATAATACTATATTCATCGAAGGCGAATAGTTTACCGTCGGAAAGGTTTGAAATATGACGGTCCAATCATTGCGTAGCAACACGGGCAGTTTAACAGGGACAAATTTTCTTGTTTTTTTAATGGTTTTTTCCAGGGTACACAAAGCAAACACTTAGCTAAGCTTAAATTTAAGCATGCATAACTCACCGCATCACACTGGGTCGAGTAATTTTGCGGTGTATTAGAACCCATTCGATACACCATGGCCAAGTGCGGCATACATCGAACAGTTCGTTTTTTTGACACTAAAATAGATGGGCGTTTCATTTATGAGCCTATATGTGACTTGATTGAAGTTTAGGTGTTACCTGCAGCAGTACGTCTGACAAAACTGAAGTTGGTGATACGAAGAGATACGGTAATGTCCACTAGAGATTCCGTCCTGTCGGTGAAACCAGTATATGCCGAAACACCGTGGTGCACTCTACAGCTCCTTCACGTTTGTTTGGAATAAGCACCAGTGAGGATATTGCAAAACTCAACTTCAAACCCGCTTCGGCCAGTCGTTGAACACTTAGCCATTCGTCAACGAGCGGCTGATAAGCAGTGTGATTAGTCCTCAGTTGGACAGGAAATAACTTGTCACTAAGCTCTCGTTGGAAACAGTTAAGTGTTCAACCACTGTCCAAAATGTATCAGGTTCAAAACTTTCTGAGTTTCGTGATATGCGCAGTCCTGATGATTCCTAACCACAATGAAACAGCTGTACAGTTATTCTAGCGCTTTTCAGCATAGATTTGCTTTACTGACAGGACGACATATCTAGAAAACTGAATGTCTTTGATGGAGTTATACGCTTGACTTGAGAATTTTAACGGCAAGACTAATCGTTCTTGTGCTACTGACAAGAGCGCTGTTCGCGAACCGATACTATTGCGGCTGTGTTATTTTGGGTTGAACAGAATCTTGTTCATTGACAGCAGGATTGATTTGTGAACACTAACCGGAAGATTCGACACTGTAAGAGGTTTTCAGACAAAAATGGCTACACTTAACTTGTTTTGGTGAAACGATTCAAACCGAGATTTCGAAGCCAAACTATACAGGTGGCAATTCTTACCGCATTCTTATTTATTTTCAAAGGCAATATGACTAGCGAACTGTCGACGTGGATACTACAAAATAAAGTTATATGCATTTGACAAGGATGGAACACAAGGATTAGCGTATAAATTTGCGTACTAAAAAGATCAAACTGAATTTACCAGGTGATCAGCTGAATCAGTGATAGCTTAAAGGTTTGGAAGTTTATCATCAACCAACTTTGCTATAGGAATAAGGCGCAGTTCTTACTTAATCTGCGCACTACATTAAAACAGTTCGGAATGGTTCACGTGTCACGTCACATGGAAGATGAAGCAAAAATAACAGATTTGCGGACCATGTATGAATCACACCCATCCGAGATGCATCTTTTTTAATTTTCAAAAACCTCAGTAACTAGATTTTGAAGCGGATTAAGAGGTGCGCATTAGGGTTTGTTCAACAGAATTTTATTTCCAGGGATTTTATGTTCGCGGCGTTTTGCTGACGCCTCATCAGTAAACGGCTGTTTCAAGGTTTTTACTATCACCCGGATTTAAAGGTGAAAATGGAAGTATAGTTCATTTAGTTCAATTTAGTTATCGGTGAAGGGATTGCTTGCCTGACCGACAGATATTGAACGAACTCTCGGAAATACTTCTGCAATTAACTAGCACAAAAGAATGTACACGTGCAGAAAAAAAGTATGCGAACGCGTGATGTGACCGGTTGCGTAAGTAGCCAAAATAGCACATCTATTTTGTTAAGAACGTGACGTCGAGATCGATGGGCACCTCTTTACCTGGAAATTAAATCTGTTGTGACTCTGGGCAAATAATGACTGGTGCAGTGAATCACCGTAGGATTCAGTCGAAAAAACCTAGTCCTCCGGATCCGTTTTTCATTCCAGCTGTTTGTAAACGACAGACTTTCGGGAACCTAGGTTAATTTTAGACACCAGCCGTCATAAAAATGTTTTCCATGAGCAATTTTAGCAAGTGACCAGGTTGTTGGATTAAGTACGCTAGAGAATCAGGGCATGTAGTCAGGTTGTTCAAGAGACTGACAAGTTTAACTCACAATACTTTTCACCCGTTATATCTTCCATGGAAGGCCATCGTAACGTAACGCTGAGTTATTGTGTGCCTGTGAATCGGTATTATACTTGTACTGATGCGTTCTGCTGACCAAATTTACCGTCCCAGGTTGTTCCATATGCGTGACGTCCCTGTAATTTGTGAGCTCAGGCTCATCAACTCTCAAACTGTGATTTCACTTACTCGGTTGCACAGTTGATCCTGGCGCCTATTACCCTGGTGTTTTGATCACCATCCAAACCCGGTGGTAATCGATTTATCACGAGTGTTTCGATGAAGTTGGTGCTCTTTTACATTTAGATTCATGTGGATTGTTACGCAAGCCGTCATAGGCATAGGCATATGCATATACTGGGATACAAATATACTCACACTATCGAGCACGTTGTCAGAAATCGAAGCAATACAAGTCTAAAAATTCCTGGGAAGTGAGTACGTTGATTCGTTTGAGTTCCTCCCCCCACTCGAATTTTAGCGGTGGTAGTAGTAGCCATATTGTTAGTAAGCCACTGACTTCATTTGGACAAGTTGAGTGTGCTGCGAAGAGTTGATGAGTGCGCAAATCTGACTTACAATAGGTGATGGATTTAGGTGAGCCTACTACAGTGACACTAATTCACGTTGGGAATAAACTTAAACTAATGCAAGCCGATTTACTTCATTAGAGCCCTCTGTGATGAACGCATTTGTGGCACACCAATTAGTAAATTAACTACGTTTGGGCTGACAAAATTGGCAAGGCTAAAACTCAAAGAACTGTCAGAATGATCGGCGGTGACATTGAGGTTGAACTGGGACTAAACTTGAGTGCCCAACAATATCACAGCACTTACACGCATCCATGGAATAAGACTTGAGATCAAGTGAACACTAGGATGCAGACCATCCTACCCAAAGATTTGACTCACACGGTATGTCAAGAAATCAGCTTAAAATGGGTTTATAATGTGTGACGTTTGTGGGTCAAACTATACTGGTCAGTGGCACACTGTGAGCAAATGGCCATAAGTATGCTCTGTTTCTCGGTGTTCTGTTCGAACATATGATGGTTTTGTTTACACATGAATGTCCTATTGTAGTTTCATCCCCACCTGTTTTCCGCCGTTATGGTTAACCGACACTCAAACTGGGATGTGCTAGTGACGTAACAACAAAGTAGTTCAGGACCTACTTTTAATCCCTAAAAGTTAACATATTCGCAACTTGAAAACTCACTATGCGCGTGTTCCATGGCCAAAGCCACGGACTAGCCTGTGTTAGGAGAATGGTGTTGTATAAAATTTCGTTTATGGCTGAAAGTAAAGACGACTACCGATCTGTTCAACTAATTACCTGTATTTTCAAAGTTTATCCAGGGAGTTATACAAAATAAACCAAAACCTTTGAGTAGAGAGTACTTCAAACCGAAACTGCCACAAAAGCCCAAAGATACGCCGGTGTTTTTATTGTATTTGACCACTTGACGCGACATACTGTCAAAACGTCTTGCGGTCAGAACTGAAAGCAGTCAAGTCTATTGTTATCATAAATGCTTTGGTTGCTTCAATTCAGGCTTTCTATCCTTTGTGTTACCACTAGATGCATAGGAGTCATTCAACGTTACTTAGGCCAAAGAAAAAATACGTGCACAGGCAAACCTTCAGTGGTTGCTAACACAGCAATCTTCGGTGGTTTTCGTTTTTTTTATCACCTTCTCTGAAGCAATTATTAGTGAAACTCCGAAGGAAAGACATCATCTATCCCTACCTAGTCAACCTGACCAGTTCCTGAATTCAGCAAAATATTCAGACAATTGAAATGATTATGTGCACATGTCAAACCCGGCAAACTAATGAGTAAAACTGGGACTCGAACTCAGTCACTTAAACACAAGATGCGGCTTTACGTGAGCTCGATGTTGAGAGAAAAGAAGTCATAGGCATATTGATCAGCATTGCTGTCGTTCCTCTACATCTGCTATTTTGGGCTGTTAGTTGGGAACAGATTTAGGACTCGACTCAAACCGCCATACTTCATGGGCAGTGTGATTTGACTAGTCCTAGTAGAACAGAGGACTGGAGGAAATGAAAATAAATGGACCGTCTGTTGAGCTAAAACTCGAATTTTCTTTGAAGCACGGAACACAGACCTCAACATTCTAGCAAGAGTAAGGCAATAAACCATATGGCGTAGATTGTCCAGTCACTTGTTCCGATGAAACTAGTTTGGTGTTGACTGATTGCCACAGAAAATGCAAACAGTTGTTAATAAAATAAAAACGTCCACCTATCGGAAGTTCCGGGACACAATGAAACGGGTAATATCTATGGTTACGTTATAGTCTTCATCAAAAGGTGAAATAATCAACTCTAGTACTAAGTGTTGTGGAAAAAATCAGTCTGTTTGATAATTTTCATGGGCACGACAGCAGTTGGATTGCATGTCGGCCGGTATCTTGGACTTCACGCCAGAACTACTCGCCTTGTTTCTTGTAATGGTGGTGAACCGAGGGTTTATTTCAAGGGCGTGGACCGTTCAACAGTAGTCAAACTTAGGACAGGCGAATAAACAGCCTGGCGGTTAGCTGTAAAAATCTAAGCACCACAAGAAGGCGGACAAAAAGATACACTAATATGCGAACGAAGGGTGTCTTCATCAAGAAATAATCAACTCTAGTACTAAGTGTTGTGGAAAAAATCAGTCTGTTTGATAATTTTCATGGGCACGACAGCAGTTGGATTGCATGTCGGCCGGTATCTTGGACTTCACGCCAGAACTACTCGCCTTGTTTCTTGTAATGGTGGTGAACCGAGGGTTTATTTCAAGGGCGTGGACCGTTCAACAGTAGTCAAACTTAGGACAGGCGAATAAACAGCCTGGCGGTTAGCTGTAAAAATCTAAGCACCACAAGAAGGCGGACAAAAAGATACACTAATATGCGAACGAAGGGTGTATTCACGTTGCTGACCTAAGAAATGTTTCGTCGGGTAAAGCCATATTCTTGACATCACTGTGTGGATTGCTTGTACATCAAAATTGTCAATTCATAAAAATGAATTTAGTGAACTTTCCTGTGAGGTCTACTCACATAGTAAAGTCCGAGGGATGTCACTGATTCATGTGTTGTCAGTCAGCAGGCGTACTAAACCGGATTATAATGCCCAGAATATTGCGGTAGCTGAGCCGCAGCGGAATGCGTATTTTATCGGGAGATGTTTTTTTCAACCGGGACGAATTCAAGAAAGGCTCACCTCAGATACCCGACAGGTCGTTTTGTTTAGATCTCTTCATTTATGGTCAAACTCACTTAAAACCTCATCTACTGATGATAAGTCAACACACTCATCAGTCCGCCGAATCCTGAGACTCGTCGGCGTTTTCAAACGTCCACTTCAGACTTTAGATATCTCACAACAAGCCGCGTACGGTTGCAAATACTCACAGGTCAAACGCACTCATCGCACCGATGACCCTGCAAAGTCACGATGGCGGGGGCGCGTGGCTGTTCAGAACCGACTGAAGATGGTGCTGCTGGTGTGAGAGCAGGGCCTGGCTGCTAGAATGAATTATGAAGTTGGTGGTTTTCCCAATCCATCCCTAGGAGTTCATTTGGGAACATCACAATGTATCGATGAAGCTGCTCCAGACAGCACACCTTCAAGGCAACTGACTGAGATGAAACTGATTTCATATGTAGAACTAGATTTTGTTCAGATTTGTGAAGACACAATTTAAGAGGGAGAAGACTGCAAATGTTTACCCAAAGCATTTAGGGACAGTTTGGATGCATTAGCTTTAATCAATTAATTGGTGAGTCAACAGTTGGTTCACCATAAATGACAACTACGAAACAAATCAGTTCGCATTAGCTCAGGTTTACCTTCAGCACGCAGTACCACGGTCGGCTTAGCTCACCCCAATCACATATTGATAGAGGTAGCTTTAGACTGCCAGTAAGATGTACACGTTTACGCTCCCCGTCTATTTGCAACCAGCAGCATAGTCAGCAACATACCATCTTTATCATCAGCAGTTCTTAGCGGTCATGTCGAGATTAAGGCCAAGTCAGCATGCTGTTAATGCTGACCCGACGCTACAGTTAATCTCTGCAGTCTCGTTTCTTGTGCCGTCCACATCTTCTTGCGGAATGCTCTTCAGCGCACACGCGGTTCACTGATTTATTTGGTCACGCTTGCCGTCTTTCATTCAGTTCGAGATGAGGCTGTGGGGTTCTCGGTTGTTGCGTTTGTCGACACAGTTCTTCGGGGTTCAGATGTGAAAAGAATTTGGTCGACGAAATCCCAGAAACTTCGGGGCGTTTTGGAAACAAAATTTGTGCATTAATGCTCTCAGTGGAATCAAATAGATGTGACGTTTGACATCTGGACTATTCCTCCTACATTGATTCAGTACCGATTTTTTAGGCACGCAGATTTTGACCACCGGTAGTTCACCACGTCGATCGGCCTGTGTTAAGTTAAACATGTAAAACTAACATGGCCCATGAACATGACTAACCGTCCGTTAGACAAAATGCAAGAAAAAATGTTTCTGTCCATTGTGCTGTCTCAACTTGTCAGGCTAAATATGGAATGGACCTGAGGCATGACGATGTGCTTGTCCTGCGTGATAAGATACGTCGCTTGGACGGTCCCTATACGAATGCATGGTATACACGAGGCATCTAGTAAACTTGGACCGGTGACCGCGTCAGTTTTTGTTAACAACAGTTTGAATGCCCTACCGTTTACACTCGTTTGTCTCTCCAGTTTGTTTCCGAATTGTGGTAGTGGGACACAAATAAATCCAGCATATCACTATAAGGGAGGTGGCTAGCTATTGGGACAGGCTGTAGTCACCGACTACAACGGTGTTGTTTGCAGCGTTTTTCACCCTTTTTCACATTTAATCACAGGAATGGTACGACATTACATTCAAGTAGATCATAAGGTTGACGGAAACTCGGGGACTGCGCCTATCTGATGAGCCCCAAGAAGGGCGAAACCGGTCGTGGGCTGTCGAAAAGTTTTCAGCAACCTTGTGAGTAGTTTCCTTTACGAAAAAATTACAACATATATTTTCGCACGAACAACGTCACCCGTGCTTTTTGTTTGTGTGAATTCGAGCGATAAAAAAGCTAATAATTGACTAATCTCAGGGCAGCACTGCCTATGATCGCTATCATTTTTGTTCTTCCTTTGTGGTAAGAAACTTCAGGGCCAAGGTGCACAAGCGTTTCGGAGAGTGTCATTAAATAGAAGTTTTTTACTGTTAATGTGAAGCGGCAACCTGCCCGGTAGTTCCGACACACTTTCATGGAGAAGCGCGCGCAAAAGTTACTCTTGTAAAATACAAGGTCAGGTTGGCTAGACTAGAACAGACTTTGGGTTCGCAAAACGTTAGCTTGTATTTGCAACACAGAAAACCTTGTCACTACAAAGCGCAAACCGTTGCAAACTATACTACTGAGGTAATGCAACACCAGAAGTGAAAAATCGTGCCACGGAATGATGCCTGCGGCTTACGCGATTTGTTCAAAAGTGTCTGTAACCGAGTGACAATGCCTGGATACGAAGCGACTATTTTCACGTCTGACTAAAGCAGATTTCGTGTCTCTGCTTATGTGCTGCAGGGTTTACCAAGGAGCTGTTTTCCGAAACATTGATTCCAGACTTAGGAACCAAGGCATACAGGCCTTGCATTGGAGCACATAGTAAGCTTGATTCTTGGTTGGTGCAAGACAGCAGTGGTGATAATCAGTACTTCTTCCTTATCTGAACAGGAAGCTAAGTGTCCACTTGGATCCCTTTGGTAGAACCTGAACTAACGAAACATGAATAAATAGCCGGATTTGTAATACGCTTTCAGTATAATTTTCAAGGTCTTGGCAAATATTCTTAGTTGCATACTATTTATTTACGCACATCGGTTATCCTGCATTGATCCGGTTCATATTTGACGACCATTTTCACGAGAGATATTTTTGTTTCACCGCCCTCATTAGGTTGGCAACTTTCAATCCACAACCAGGTCCATAAACTATTCTGCACTTTACCGGAAAATAGTGAAAAGAACATTTGCATACATGCATGTAATTCTGTATAATTTGGGTAAATTTCTCTAGTTGAAGCAGATTGGACGTTTTGACCGGCAGAAGTGCTCTCACGGTATTGTCTTGCCGAAAGTCCTATAGGTGAAGCTCGGGATTCGCAGACATTTTACAGGTTGTTTAAGCTCGAGAATGATTCCGGCATGATGCAGAGTCATGACCAGTAGACAAAAAAGGCGTGGATAGCTTTATTATATCGTGACGGAGAAACGGTACTGCATGGGTAAAAATCTCATTCAACAATGTTATTCTGACTTCGGACTTCTCTAACTCAGAATCAGCTGATTTGAAATATTAGGTTCCTTCAGGTCCTTTGCTGAAGCGATATAGAAGCCGCCTCATCCTCCTTATCGTTTTTTTGTGTTGAAGCCATTTGTTTAGATGTTCTACAGTGAACGTGTCAGGCAGTTCATTGGGAGAACCAGCTCTGAACGTAACGGGACTACATAACAGCCAATAGAATAACCGTTTTTGTTGAGACAGATTTCATTGGTTGTTCTTTACTCATCCCTGACAGATCAGTTGTATTCTTTGCATCACTTTTTCGACCCGTTTGTACGCGACAGTGATCAGTAGAGCGGCTGGCTCGCACGTTCGTTGACTTTTTCTGGTTTGGTCAAGCGCATCACGCGATCAGGCGACTATCCAGACCAGAGTTCACGCTAATATGAAGGCATTAAGGAGATTGTGATCTACTACACGGTTCCTTAGACTTAACGTACCTGTTAGCATGCCACTGTGGTCGGTATCAGAAAAAATAACGGGTTTTTCTCACAGCGCCTAATCAAGTCAGACGGTGCTATCTTTGTATGTTGGGAATGGGATGGGGAAAACAACAACGCAGTTTGAAATCCCGGAGTTTAGTAAACTTAACAATGTCATTGCAACCAATTTGATTGGAAGTTTGGAGGTGGAGGTTGAAGATCACAAAAGAGAGACTCATAGCTTGACGAGTTTGAACTTTATCTGTAAGGGATATCGCAATGGAAACATTCGACGTAGTAAAGCATTCTAAACAAACAAGTCTGTACAACACTAATTCCAGTTTGTCGATTGTTGCGATTGCAGAGTGAATGTTAAGTTAACCTTCATACCGAAGGCCTGGTCAACACAGTATCGGGCTGTGGTCAACAGCAAAAACAATTATATTCATAATATGTTTATTTCTTCATAGAGAGAAATGAATGTGTGGAACCCCAGTGGAAGACGTTGCGTTTTATCCACGGTAAGTCGCACAACAAGCTCCGCTTAATCCAAAGTTCTCCAAGCCGCGACTGAATACAGGCATGGCCATTATTTATGACTGCGTAAGAGTGGAGCAGTAGTAATGGCATAACCGATTGCTTCGGGGACATCTATATTGGGTACAATATCCGGATAACAACGGAGTTCAACTAACACTGACGCGAATGTAGTGACCCAATTGGGTCAATAAAGTGTCGTTTTGATATGTCCAGATGAGCTTATTCCTAACTTCTAATGAAGTTCAGAAAATATCATTATCTCCTTGGCAAAACATGAAGAAATAATATGAATACCCCGACAGAAGTTGGAAACAGCTTAGGCTGCCGATCGGCTGAAATGGCTGAAAATTTTGACTGATTGTACTGGATAAGAAACGAAAGTTCGGGCTTAACAAGTGACTGTATGGTGTCTTAAACGTCGAAAATGATCCAAATCGGTTTGTACCTTCTCCAGAGAAATGTGTTTCTTTATCTGGGTTACGAATTTTTCCAGCCAAACAGTGTTCTACGCAATCACAGACTCACAACATTCCGTCCCCGGCATTCAATCAATTTCTACTCTGTTAGCCCGCCTTCCCAACTTTCGTGGACTCACTTGTCCAGCACCCGTGTCCCTTTAGAAGCACTAAGCAACGGTTTTGGGCGAAGTTATGTTTCTACACAGGCCAAGACACACGTCATATTAATTGAGGTTCCTTATAAATAAACCGAACCGTTCTAGCAAATTATGATGCTGGTTACTAGGTACATGGTTTCCAACGGGAATTTTGGGTTATTTTCGACTCTATAAACGAATATTTCAACTAATTTTGCCCAGTTTCTGGTCAATATATCGGCCACTGTCCTGCAGCCCAACTCCTGTTGGATGGGAGGTAGACAGCCAATCCTGCGTTCACATACGCACAATCGCTCAGATGAGCACATGCTAACTCAGTGGCGTCAACCAACCAATCAGATTCAATGTTGTTTACCGATCCTCCCGTTACTTATTGACCGTTAACAATTTAGTTATCCCTTAAGTAAGGGTAAGGATCACACAGCAAGTAAACGGTAACCTGTGGCTTTTCATCTCTTGTCTGCCAACAAAATAACCGGCTGTATCGTGGTTATAATAGAGGGTAAGGTATTGGCATTTGATTGAAGTGTGCTCGTAGGGTCTCAGAAGTTCACTCTCTGTTTGAGGGGCGATGCCCACATCAATGAAGATTGCTTCATTTGGAGGTGACTGCACGCAGATAAAACACTGGAAGGCGCTCAAGAAGCCTAATCCCACATGACCGAATGAATACTTGTGGCACCTGCAAACACAAGAAACAGCAACGGTAGTAGTAATAGAACTCAGGGCTGGTTGATACGTAGAGGGTAAGTTCATATATGTCGGCAAATGACCAACTGTGTGTGGGCATCCTACTAGAAACTCACCAGAATAATTCATTCTAAACGCTGGTTGGTCTAAGGATGACTACACTGTGTTTCTTGGCTGCTTACTGGTATTTAGTAATATCTTCTTCCCAACAGTAGACTCTGGATTCTCATAAGTTGTTTCATTCTTTTTAAGATTTCGTTACAATCTCGTCGACAAATTCCCTTGAAGCACTACCGGGGACTCGGAGATCCTAGTGTACCGCACTTTTGCTACACCACTGGAAAATGGTGCGGTTTTTGGATATGGCGTGATATTGTCATCAAGATCAATAACTCAATCGGCAGTCAACTATATGGCGTGTGAAATCTTGTCGGTATCTGGAAACTTTTTGTGATGACATTAGTCACTACTCTGCGCAGAGCACTTACAAAGCTCACTAAACTAACGACGAAGGACTCTAAGTGACTTGAGAAACACACGGAAGTTCAAGGATTCAACAGCTCGTTCATAGGAGTGCACGTTAATTTCCAGATTTTCTAGTAAGAGACAAAAATACCGTGGACTTTCAAGTAAAGTGAATGCGTTTTAGTAAGCTCCCATTTTCCTAAACGCCCTCTCAGTTTTAGGTTATTGAGGTTGTGGGCCTATGGAACACATGTTCTAATGTTGGCTCACGTGCAGTGACTTGCGACGTGTAAGCAACGCCTTTTGGGGAGGTGCAGAACAAAAAGAGTAGACTAATTTGCTACAGACAGGGTAAATATAAGCCACGCAAACAAATGGAGATGTCCCGATAAGGCCAATAGTGGATGGTAAAGGCCAGTCACCACATGAACTGGCCAGATTCTTAGCTCGTATACTAAAACTGCTCACGAAGAAATCAAGCACCTTCATTAGGAATTCGTACGACTTTGCCAGCAAGGTCGCAGGGCTTCCTTTGGAGATGGACGAAGTCCTCGTGAGTTTTGACGTAATCTCAATGTGCGCAAACATCCCCAGGGCAGATGCTCTGGAGGTCGTAACTGGCAGACACGACACTCGGGGAACGGACAAAGCTCTCAGTGGATGAAAAAGTTGAGGGCATAATGGTGTGTTTGAATCTTGATCAGTTTGTTTTTGAGTTAACTGTTTACTCACAAGAACAAGGTTTTGCAATAGGATATCCAACATCCCCAGTTCTAGCTAATATTTATATGGAGGACTTCGAACAAATAGCCTTGGCCGGATATCATTTTCCACCCAAAGTTTTTGGCGTTATGTTGACGACACCTTAGTTTTAATCAAACGAGTTAACGTGAACAGCTTCCCCGACAAGCTCGATAGTTTAAACCCA